TTTAGCTTTGATACTATGATCTGATTAGAATTAATGTGTGCAATTTGGATTTTCTTGTAGAATCACAGTGACAATTTCACTCAAGCATTAGCTTGGTATTCAAAATGTGAGTTTTTGTGATGAATTGGTGTGCAGGATCTCCAGGACAGAGTGGGAAAGGCCAAAGACTGCAGTGATGAGATGATAAAAATTCGGAAGGAGGTTGTGGACTTCCATGGAGAGATGGTTCTATTGGAAAACTACAGCGCCCTTAACTACACAGGTAAGTTCAGTTTTTTTTCTCTCTGACCATATTATGAATTGCAATTGTATTCTAAGTTAAGTATGTTATAACACCACAGGGCTAGCAAAGATACTCAAGAAGTACGACAAAAGGACGGGCACCCTCCTGCGCCTGCCCTTCATCCAGAAAGTCCTACAAGAGCCCTTCTTCACGACCGACTTGCTATACAAACTTGTGAAGGAGTGTGAGATACTGATCGATCGCCTCTTCTCTTTCAATGAAGCCTCGCGGGCAACTGGTGCGAATGACGAACCATCAACCAGCATACCCACCAAAAGTGATGGTCTACTCAGAGCCGGGGCCCCAAAGGAGCTTGCAGAGATCGAGTACATGGAGAGCTTGTTCATGAAGAGCACCTTGTCTGCATTGCGGGTTCTGAAGGAAATTCGTAGCAGAAGCTCCACTGTGAGCGTTTATTCATTGCCACCCCTGCAAACTAATGGAGTTGATGATTCTTGGAATAATAAAATCCCAATCTTGGAACAAGAAGCAAAGTAGTCTGACTAAATATGTAGTAATGTTACTCCCTCCACATTGTCATTTTCTTGTTTTTTTTTTTTTTGAGGAAATGCATCTGTTATAGTTGCATTAGATATACCACTAACATGAATGAAATGGTTGTTTAAAAACACGAATGAAATGGAAGCTGTGCTGTAAGCCTACAATGAAATACACGTACTATTGTTTTATCTCTAATTCTGGTTCTGATGTGAGAAATTATTTATCCAGTTAACTCAGGTCATGAGTCCGTAATATATATGCCCACTTTAAGAGCATTGTTTTTAAGAGAATCGATTAATAATGATGTAATTATACAATACATTGAGACTCTTCATTATTTAAAAATCACAGGAATTTTTGTTTATTTGTGTCTTTACTCTTTCGTGTAATGTAAAGGGATGTTCAAGTTTAGGCCTGGACTGAAAAAAGTGATAACCGTTAGGCCCAGACTGAACTTGGACTAATTGAATTTCTAGTGAGTCTTTGGTCCAAAAAAATTAAGCATTTGGGTTTTAGTCTGGTCCGGTCCAAACTCGATATGACTTAGGTTTGGACCGAATGGACCTAAAAAATCAAAACACTAAAGCTCTCCTTTTTAAATTTGATATTACACGTTGATACTCGATTTTGATAGATATCTTAATTACGGAGTATTTAATTAAGAAGGTTTTTTTTAAGTAATTTTTTTTAACAATTCAAAAAAAATGTTTCATACGGAGTATTTATTTTTTAGGATTATACAAAAAAGTAGTCAATGTTGTGTATATATTTTAAGTTTGTCCATTTTTTATTTTTTCTTATTTGCATGGTATAAATTAAAAAGCCTAAAACATAATTAATAGATCAAAATAATTTTAAAAAATTTTTTTTGGTCCAACCGATCCAGACCAATTCGGTCCTAGGTATTTCGATCCGCTCCAGTTCAAACCTAAATAGATTTAGGTCATGTCTGATTTAACCCGGTTCAGTCCGGTCTTGGGACGGAAGGAGTATTACTTTAATGATACTAGAGATTGGTATTTGGTAATAGTGTTCAAAGCTATACACTCCGCGCGCGCGTTTGTGTGTACGATGAGGTTTTAGTGACACCGGAGTACGATGACACTCCGGTGCCACTGTCATTTTGGGACACTTCTGACACTCCGTTAATAAAATTGAAGGTTCCTAACCCCCCTAACCACCCCATAAACCCCCCACCCTACCCCCGACCCGGTGCCACCACTCCAATCCTGCCGTAAGGCCCCCACAAAATGTGTGGCTGTTATGTATTGCATAATAGTCACACATTTTATGTGATTTTATTATTGATTATCATATTATTCAAATGCCAAGTAAACAATTTTTTTATCAAAGTATCATACTGATTAACAATTAAAGTATGTTTCGATGTTAGATTTGATTTTTATTTTTTAATCACACCAATTTCCAAAAAATTTGAAAATAATTTCAATCAAATATCATAAACCAAAACATTTTAAATTGAGACGGAGGGAATAACTTACTCTAGGCGTGTTTTTTGTATATCTCAACGTGTGTGTTAGTTATACAACACAATTGAGTCCCACTCTTTTTAAGGTTCAAGGAATTTGAGAGTGAAAGAAAAAGAAAGTGATAAAGAAAACATTTTTCTTGTTTGGTTAGAGAGGAAAAGAAAAGAATGTGGAAGGAAAAGATAATGAAAAGACAAAATCTACTAAGATGATGGAAAATCAAATTCCTCCCATTTTAGTGAGAAAACTGAAGGAAAACCATTTTCTTTTTTTTTTCCTTCCAAATGCCTTTAACCTATGTAGTAACACTAAGTTTGGTTCAAGGAATTTGAAAGGGAAAAGAAAAGAAAATGCAGTGGAAAACAGTTTTTCATGTTTGGTTGGAGAAGAAAAGTGAAAGGAAAAGAAAAATGAGAAGACAAATGTACTAAGTGGAGAAAAAACCAAATTCCTCCCATTTTGGTGAGGAAAATGAGAGAAAATCATTTTCTTTTCTTTTCCTTTCTTCCAAAGTCCTTGAACCAAACTTACACTTGTGCTAGTTGTCGAAAGAAAATGTGTACAACGAGATAGAACTATTTTGTACGGATGAACAAATAAAAAAGAAAGCAGTTGAAAATGTAGAATAATCAAATGGAGATTAAGTTTACCAGCCAGCTATTAATTAATTGAGAGTTGTTGCAATTACAGCTACAGCTCTCAACTTTAAATATGAACAACACTAACACCTATTGGTAAAACAAGAGGCAGAAATTCATGGTTTGAAGTGGCCAGCGAAGAAAAATGACTGAAAAGCCCTCCATCATCCTTCTCCTCACTGCCCTCATCTTCTTGATCACAACAACCAGAGCTTCAAGAGATCTTTCAAAACAGCCAAATATTGATAAGTCTTTCACTGCCAATAATGCCAGCCACAAGGTAAGTTTTACATATCAATAATTAAATCCCCCAAAAAATGCTCAATTTCAGAAGCCAACAACAAAAAAAAATAGGGTTGTTTTAATCACTTCTATTGAAATGGTTTGATTTCAGATTGGCTCAGGCAAGTGTTCATACACAGTGAGCATCAAAACAAGCTGTTCCTCAGTGAAGTACACCAGAGATAAAATCAGCCTTTCATTCGGCGATTCTTACCGGAATGAGGTGAAGATCAATCCTTATCAATATATTGTATTCTTTATGTCCCAAAACTAAAGAAACGCACTTTGGACAATAATAAATATAGCATTAAATAAATAAATGTTAAATAAATAAAATGAACCAAAATATATTAAATTTACATTGTAACTAAATGCACTTTTTTCACAATTTATGGTCAAAGTATGTAGCAATTTGACCAAAAAAGTCAAAATGTGCCTTTAGTTTTGGGAGGGAGGGAGTATATCTGATGACTTATTGTTAAACATTACTCGTTACGCCAATAGTTAAGACTTGGAGTTCCATTCTAGAAGGTCACACACCTACCTTAGTAAGAGGGGAAGTCTAAAGTCTTACATATTGGTTTGTGTTTTCATATTTAATGGATGTGAATCGGCTCAAAAACCAAGCAACAATTTGTGTTTGGCTATCAGGTTTATGCACCGAGGCTTGACGATCCCCATTCGAAGACATTTGAGAGATGCTCAAAGGACACATTCCAGATCCAGGGGCCCTGCATGTATGATATCTGCTATCTCTATCTATACAGGGTGGGATCAGACGGCTGGAAACCGGAGACTGTCACAGTGTACAGTCCTAACCACAGGTCTATTACCTTTAAGTACAACAAATTTGTACCCCGGGGAGTGTGGTATGGCTTTAATGAATGTAACAGTGTCTCCTCCTCAGCTGCTGCTTAGATGAGAGAAGAGAAGTTGATACTAAGTGAATTTGCATGGTTTGATTATTGGGTTGTTAAAATAATTTGAGTTTGGAGTTTAAATTGCAATAAATTTCATCATGCTTTTGGTCTGATTATGTGAATGATGGATATGAAGTTCTCTGCCATTTGGAAATTACTTAGGATTCTTATACCATGCTGCAAACTACACTTTGCATTCATTTCAAAAGGAGAGCTATAATTCTAGTGAAATTTGCCCTAGATATAGTACTAAAAGATGTACTTTTTCCTAATATAAGACTCTTAATATTTTATACGCCTTGAATAAGATTTAATTTATTAGTTATGGAGTAATTAGTAGTGTTCATATGCTAAAATGCACTTAGTTAACTATGAAGTATTAATTAAATCCTACCCCGATTCTCCCTTCTTGTTCTTGTACTCTCCTACAACCTCCTCCTGTGCCGCTTATTTCCACTGCCATCTGCAGCCATGCCTACTGTAGTCAAACAATTTCCCCTAATTCTTGTACCCAGCTTCCATATGTTCCTTTTAGTTTGTTTCACAATCTTTATCACTTTCTAAAAATTGCTGTCCCCAATGTAACTGCACGCCTCAAGGCGTTCAATTTGAGATGAAGGCTTCAACAATTAACCTATAAGGCTATAACAAAGGTTTCCTCCGTGCCCATGGATTTGTTTCCTTCAAAATGGTAAAATTAGACAATTAACTTAATGCATATTGTTACTTTCCTAAATGACACCTTAAAAGTTATCTCAACCCTATTATCTCACTTAATAATTGATATTTGTTTAAAAAGTAATCAAATTAAGATGAGAGCACTAAAAATATTATGAAAATGAGTGGTTAAGTCTCACACAAATGACCACAAGAATCAAATTGTATGCAACTATGCACCATTTTATTCAAATCCAATACGGATTAAAGCATTTTTACCATTTTGTTGGCATGGTTTGGTGGTAAATAGCACTCGATTTAGTCATTGAATTATTCATCAAAAGTGCTCATGAATCCACCAGTAAAGCCAGCTCCGTTGCAATTACCACAAAGAATCTCGTTCTTACCTCTGCAGAAAAAACACTAAAGTCTTACCGCCTGCTTTTTTCAACCAAAACAAAGACATAGCATAGCATTAACTCCCTCCGTTCCTTTATAGTGTTCCGGATTCGGTTTACGATGTTTGACTAAAACTATTTTCATTTCAGTTTATTCAAAAAATAGTGTAGAATAAAAAATAAAAATTTATATTAAATAAGTTCTACAAAACAAGAGGTGGTTTAAACATGTGAGTTTAATTGTTTATCAACACTAATATGGAACAAAGGGAGTATCTAAGATGTCATTCCCTTGCACTTATTTTAGATTTTTCATTCCGTGACAGCGAAAAAATTGTTTTTGTGTGAGCAGCCGAGGAGTTATAGGCAATGGCACAACGCCTTACCGGCAAAGCCAGCAAAGTTGACCGGCTTTAAACTGCCCGTTGAAATGATCAATAGAGTTTACACCACTTCCTTTGCATTGCGAACACAATACTGCCCCTGTCAATTAAGTATTAAAATTAATGGCTAAAATATAATCTAAACCAAAAAAAAATGCAAAGCTTGTTTGCAACGAGAGTGAAACAAAAAGTGGAAGTGATGTGTTTTGATACATCTAAAGAAAAAAGAAACTATACTTGTTAGTGTATAGAACCACAACCTTGAGCCTGTGGTTGAGTTGGTTCCTTGACATGGTACCAAAGCTTTTTTGACCAAGAGGTCACGATTTAAAATATCATCGTCACTCAATTTTAAAAAAATTAATATTCAAGAGAAAAAAAACCAAATCTCGCCATGTGAGGGAGCATATTAGAGTATAAAATCTTTCCAAGGCCAACAACCATGGGCTCAAGCCGAAGGCTTTGATATCATGTCAAGAAACCAACTCAACCACAAATTCCAGCTTGTGGTTGTGCGCTCAAAAAAGGTTTATACTCTAACACGAACCCTTAGATGCAAGTGAGATTCTTTTTCCTCAAGCCTTGCACGTGAACATTGATTTTTGTGGTGAGGTTCAAATTGGTGACCTCTTGGTCAACAAGGAATCAACCCAACCACAAGCTCAAGCTTTTTGTTGTAGGCCCAGGAAAGGTTTAATACTCTAAATATACTTGACCTTATTCATACCACGTAAAGGTTTTTATACATACACCAAAAATTGGAAATAAGATATATAATTTTAAAGAAATCTAAACGTGAAAACGGCAACCAATACACTCACCATTTCCATCACAATTAGCACACACAATGCTGCTTGTTTTAACATCTTGATTATTGTCGGTGGCCTATAAATCAAAACATAACATGATTTTTTTTGTCTAAACAAAAACAACAGATAATGGGTAAAATGAGCTCCAAAGAATTTGTAAGGCAAAAAAGCAATTGAAGAGAAATCAAATCAACAAAATTGTCTCAAAATATTTTGTGCCCCAAGCGGTCCTCAATGTTTCGCAATTGCCATCAAACACTTATCTGGAACAGCACAAATCATCTTGGAAAAGCTTATCGTTTTTATTATATTTAATATTTATGATAATAGAGTTTAGAAGTCCATGAAATATTTTTAGTAGTTAGGCTCTTCACAAGGTTGTCAGTCCTGTCATACTCCCTTTCTCTTATTAATCTATGATGGGTCCCCTTAAGTATCTAAAGAGGAACTCAACTTTGCTCATACTAGCTTTCCTCATAACATCGTCAGTCACTAAAGGAACTCCCCCAATAATTATTTGGGATTTATTGTAATTCACTTAAAGGCCAAATACCTGCTTGAAATGATCTAGAGCTCTCAAGGCAAACTCAATCCTCCTCAGCCTTGCAGACTACTATGAGGTAAATTGCAATAACAAGATTAACAAGGTTCAATATTTGCACATAGATGGACCATGGACTTTCCAACTCTGGCAAAGTAATGAAAAGTTCTAGTGAGGTATTCCGTAATGAGAACAAAAAGCAAGGGTGAGATAGGCCCCCCTGCCGGAGACCTTTACCTCCTCTAAAATAAAATAAAAATTTCCATCAAGTAGGATAGAATAGGAAGCATTATTCACACAGAAATTAATCCAGTCCATGAATTAGGGATGGAACTTCAAAGCAAAGAGAATTTGATTTATAGATTTCCAGCTCACGGAGTCATAAACATTTTTATGTCTAATTTCATCAAGCATCCAGGAGTAATCCCTTTACTCTTGTACCCTCTAACCAATTCTTGACACATGAGAACATTATGCATTAACTCTCTACCTTCTATAAAGGCCCCTTGATTCAGATCAACAATAGTGGGAAGGACTCTTTTAAGTCTGCTACAGAGGATTTTAGGGATTACTGTAATATTAGTGTCATTTATTTGTTTGAGGGTGTCACCTGTGTGGAAGACATCTAGGGTTGCCTTGGTGACAAGCTCTCCCACCGTGCTCCATTGGTTTTTGTAAAACCCAGTGTTATAGCAGTTATACACGAAAGTGAGGGAGAAACCCCTGCTATCCCCAATAGTGATCAGTCACTTGTATCACCTTAACATCAAACTTAGAAGGGTCCCAAACAATCCAAATCCTGCCGAAGTAGTGAGCAGTATTGTTGATATAAGATTCCCAACGTTTGAACCATCTTCCTTCAGTCCCCTTGAAATTATTTCCCCTTCTAGTTTCTAACATAAAAGGTAATATCATACTACCTCATAAAATAGTTGATTTCATTTTGTTTAGGGCTATTTAGCCCTCTAAAACTCCAACTTCCTATATCATGTCAAGAGGGATAGTGCCCCGCATGTGGGGCCTCATGTAAGACTTTATCTAAAGACATACCGATTTCCTGTTTCTCTTCATCTAAATGATTTCTTCTAGCAGATTTTCTTTCATCAACTCCTTGTAACTCTACTTCCTCTGTCTCTTTGTTTCCCACTTCCTCATTCTTGGTTGCCACTTTGTTCTCTTCCTGTAGCTTCTCATTCTTATATAATTAAATCTTCTTAGGTTTCAAGGTCAACCTTTTTTATCCATAAGTTTGCTTAGGTTCTTATCTCTTTCTACACAATTCTTGTGAGTGTCCCATCCTTTTGTAGTGTGTACGAAAAATTAGATACCACTCACAATTGATCTGTTGAGTTATTTCCCTATCAATCCTCATCAGTGAAAACAATTTGGTCAGGAAATCCAAGACTAGATCTACTAGCAGTAGCTCTATCTCATTTGATAGGTTTCCCGACCACACTTCCTAGCTTGCACAACCCCGTCAAACTCCAGTACTTCATGTCTAGGTCTGGAAATTGCATCCATATAGGAATATCTAGATGCAATTTTAAGAAACCAGTACTTCATGTCAAACTCCAGTAGTTCATGTCTAACGTTAATTTAAGAAAATCTCACATTGTTAATTTAAAATAATCTTGCTCAACATAAATGTATTGTACAATTATACGTTATGAAACTCTCTATATAGTGTAATTGTAAGTAAATTTATTTTATAAAAATAAATAAATTCAGTCATAAACATTTATAATAAAAGAAAATTAAGAAACTACAATTTATTATGAAGTACAAGTTAATGTCGTTTCAAGGAAACATATTTATAATATCGCAAAATTACCAATGAAAAATTCATAATACATTAATTCATTTAACATTTAAATATTATATGACATATTTTTTTAAACATTTTAATATTAAATGCTACTAAATTTTACTCCGTATAAAAGTAACTAAATTTTATATGTTTGTGTCAACTGTTCTGAATGACTGTTTAGTTTAGTTGGCTTGACCGACTAGATGTATTGGCTGATCGTAAAATGTTTGGTAAAATTAGCTATTTGAAAATAGTTGTTTTGAGATTTAGAAATTATACACACGCACACACACTCATTTGTATCAAAATAAATACAATACTCCATATTTGTTTTTCATTTTTGTACATGTAAAAATTAGATCTTGAATATACGAAGTACTAAATTACACTTTCATATAATTCATAAGAAATTAATAATATACAACTTTTAATGATTTGGACGTTTGATTTTCTCATTTTATTTATTTTGTTTTTTAAATTTTAAAAGTTTAAATTTTAATTTTTTTTTATTTATTTTCAAATTTTTTAACTTTTATTTTTTAACTTTTATTTTTTACATATATTTGAATATCTTTCAACAAAATAGATAAAAAAAATAAATTTTCCTAACAGACAAGTCCAAAAAGCTACTCCTCTTGACTTTCCGAATTGAACAACTAAGTGGAAAAACCATTAGCCAAATAATGGTTTTGGCTATTCAATTAGTCAAAAAAACCAAAGTCAATCAAATGAGGCCAAAAGCAGTCGAAAAAGTTGTTTTCCAAACAAAGCCTATAGAATTTACTTCGGGTATGACATTACTTCAATTTTTAAGAGTATTTTTCTTTGGACATTGATGATGATGATGATGATAATAATAATCTCCCTCTCTACCACGGTTTTATGTTCATTCTCCCCGTCATCATGCTCCTATTATCTTTCCTAAGTGAAATGATTCAGTAATAATCTTTCCTAATTGCCTCTTGCTAAACCTCAACCTGACAATAACAAATATCTCAATCCATCAATCATCGCAGTTGGAAATATTATAGGATGATAGCCGCTGCAAAATTTCCAGAAAGAATGCAATCGAAGACCCAATACAAAGAAAGAAACCATTTTCACGAAATAAACCAATTGCCACAAAGAGGACGGTGGAAATGGTTGCTTATCTGTACCTTGGCCAGAATTTTTTTGGTGCTGCGGTCCGGGATTTCATCATCGCGGAAGCCATAAACTGCTTCCAACCGGAGATTGGGAGGAGTTAACGGCGGATTCCGCTTGGTTTGAAAGACCGCCGATGGAATAGACCGGTGCCTCGAACTCCATAGAGATGGCTGTGATGATTAATAGAAGGAAGCGGAAATTACAATTCGAGAATGGATGGGATCGAATGCTGGAAGAGGAAGTGAGGTTACCTGAGCGGAGTAGAGCTGCAAATGGAGAGAAGAAGAAGCCATTTTAGTGATTTTTCACAGAAGCGATAGAAGAGGAAGAACGAATGGGTGGAAGTGTGGAACACAATGAAAAAGACGATAATGGAAACAAGGGTGGGAGGCCAACACAATTTTCTATTGAGTCTCTTTTTTCATTCGTCCCATAAAATATTTCTTAGTTCTATTAAAAAAATACGTTTATTCTTTACTTTTTCATAACTTATCTATCATATCATACATTTTTACTAATAATATACCCATCAAATCTTACTTTTATCCATCACATCAAAGGACTTTTTGAAAATCCAATACCAAAATACACTTTTCCTTAAATCTTTTAAAAATCAATCTCCCATATTTTTAAGACCGGAGGAATTACTCTCAAATGTACTTCGATAGTATATTCTGTCTATTGGGCGATTAAGATTAAAAATTCTAAGTAATACTTTGACACTTACTAAAATTTAACTCATCACGGTCGCAGATGATGGCCAGGCGAAGGCGAATTTGCGACGATTCCTTACGGTCGCAGTTCCGTCGGAAATATAAAATTTGCTACGATTTTTTCAAAGCTGTGAAGGAATTCTGTTGTTGCAGATTTGGCAGATTCTTATAGTGAATGTTCTTATCACATCTTGTATTATTAAACATTTGATGTTCTTTTGAAATACACAATTTATACTCTTTGTATTTCTATACTCAATTGAACCTACCCCATCCCTCGTCAATTGAACCCTCTAGTCTATATTTATGTCTTATTACCGCACAATTCATTTATTATCGAGAAATGCTAGGTTCATAAAAAAAATTGTCACAAACTTCACAAACTGACTATTTGTGAATTTCAATAAAAAAAATAGTCTAAAAGAATTTTAAAATGAGAATTTAAGTCTAATATGGTAAGTTTGTGAAGTTTTGGTTTCTAAACATAGCATTGCTCTTTATTATCATACAAAAGCAAGAAAAATACTAGTTTCTCTTTCTTACCCAAATGACTCAATGGGAATAGTATATGGCATGCTAAATTTATACGGTTATACCGTACTTTGGTTTCAATGTATTCGTGTAATTTGAATTTTTCGGTCATTTCCAAGCATCATCCAACTTTTTCGAGTTTGTAAAACTCTTTTGAGTTTTTTTCAACCTCTTCTAATTCCTTTTCAAGAATTTTCAATTTTTTTCCAACATCGAACTGTAGATTTTTTTATCCAAACTTAAAAAATAGGGCCTAGTTATAAAGTTTTTTTAAAAAATATATAATGAACACATCCTTGTTGAGAGATAATACAGGGGAATGAAAAAAAATCTGAACTTATAAATTGTTCGAATTTACAATCAAAAAAATTAAGAAGACTGGACTTTAGAGATGTGAAAGATGAGCAGACTGTGTAGCTTCTGAGTGTCGGACTAGACAATTTTGGACGGAGCTATACTTGAAAAGAACGTTAAGGAAAATGGAATCGTTGGAGTTTTCCTTTAGGTAATATCGCGCGCCTCCTGCACTGTAACATGGAGAACCTTCTTCTAAGATAAAACTGCTAACGTGCAAAGCCTAGAGCGGTAAAACAGTGTACCGTCGCACTAAAACAAAAGAAAGTTACTCGCCATAAAGCTGACCAAAATGTGAGAAAGACTTGGAATGTATGCAAAGAAATAGATTGCTTCGGATTAGATCTTCTTTGTTGCCGTAGACTCTTCATAGGTGCATGCATGCCTGACTCGGACTTTGTTAATAACCAAGTACCCACTCGCATTCAAATTGGTCTTGTAAAAAGATAGGAGTTGGCACACGCCCGTTACGATGCATTGCACACTACACGCCAACACGTGTTTGCGCGCACGCGTGAAATTACGTACCAAGCCGGATAGAGGGCAGCGGACCGCGAGGTTCCATTCATTTATCCTTCTCAAATTGTTTTTAGAATGTAAATCACTGCTAGCATATAAATAGTGGAAGAAGAAAGACTTAAAATGTGAGACACCATTTACTCATTTCAAGTGTCCGACTTTATGAATTAATTTCTCATTCAACCGAGCACCGTTTTTGGCGGACAATATGTCGGGACATTCGTCTCACTTTGGAAATTAATGGTCCATAATTACTTTGGAAAATTAATTAGTGGACCCCACCAAAATTATGTCCAAGTTGCTGCATTACCAAGCTAAAAAAATCCAAGAATCCTAAAAGGTGCTATTGTACCCCCTTGACCACTTGATGTACGATCAGACCCATCTTAATCTGCAGTCCCAATTTCAGCATTGGTTGAACCGAGAAACAGAAACCTCTGGCTCTAGTTGGCACTCGGTTGGGGAGTACGTAGAAAGTAGGAAGTAGAAGGAGTACATGTGGCGTGAATGCTTGATGCGAAAAGGAAGACCGGAAAAGCCGGTCATAGGGAATGATACATTGAACATTGTGAGAATGGGAGGAAACAGGTAATGGTTTTTGTATCCAACGATGGTCTTGACACCTCACCAAATACAGTTAATTAAAGAAAATGCAATTGACCATGACTATTTATAGATAATACATATACTTTGTGCGTGTATAAATATATATATACATACCCAAAACTGTAATAAACAACCTCTATCTTCTTCATCCTCTCTTCCTGCCCTTCTCTTTCTTCTTTTTTTTCCCCTCCTCCAAGTGGGGATTTTTCTTGAACTCTCTGGGAATTTGGAATGCAAATCTTGGTTGATACCCTAATCTGGGTTGTGTTGATCTTTGTTAAAAATCTCATCTTTTTTCATCTCTGCTGGGCGTTTTCTTCTGAAAAACAACAGACATGCCTACTCTTGTTAATTACAGTCACAGAGGTATCCACTTTTTTTTCTTTTCCTTTGTTTAAAATTTTATTCTGTGATTTCTCTTCAAGTTTCTGATTAATTTATTTGTTAGTTCATGGCCTGCAATTTAGGGTTAATTTTCTTGATTTACCAGAAGCTCTCTTTTAACACACAGATGTAGATGGGAATTCCTTTTATGGGGCAAAGTACATACCTTTGGTGACTTAGTTAGTGATAAATATTCTATTTGTAGCGGAGGCAAACATAAAATCGGAAGCCAATAGATTGGATACACATATATCTTTATGCAGGGAAAAAAAAGGAAAAAGAAAGCATCTTTGGGAATTGTTTTATTGATGTGCTCACTTGACTTTATAAAGTTAAGAACTTGAATAGAAAATTTGAAGGCCATATATGGAAACTTTTACAAACATTAAAATTTCACGATCTATCTCAATGGAGTTGTTAGTTTCGAAGGTCATTACTAATATGGATTTTTTTAGTTTGAATTCACGTAGGATAGAACGTGAAAATTAACGAGATTATGATTTGTTTGGATTTAAGATTATGTTTTGCCTCACATTGGGAACCAAATGAGTAGATAGATTCCCAGATGAGTTCATAAATGATTTTATTTCAGGTGATGATGACTTCCTGGCTGGGAGTTCGTTGTGTTCGTCAGATTTGGGCCTTTTGTTATCCCTTGGTCATGCGGATGTTTACTGCCCCGCTAGAAAGAGGGCAAGAATCAGTGGCCCATTTGTTATCGAAGACCAAACACAGACAAAGAAACCATCCATTGAAATCCTTCCAGATGAATGTCTGTTTGAGATCTTTCGGCGCTTGGGAGGAGGCCGTGAAAGGAGTTCCTCTGCTTGTGTTTCCAAGCGCTGGCTCATGCTCATGAGTAGTGTCCGTAGTTCCGAATCTCTCAGAGGCAAGAATGAAGTTGCTTCAGATGATGTAAAGATGAGCCCGGCTGACGAAGATCTTGAAGTAGAAGGTGATGGGTACCTTTCAAGATCTGTTGAAGGGAAGAAAGCTACCGATGTGAGGCTTGCTGCTATTGCAGTTGGAACTTCAAGCCGAGGGGGACTTGGGAAGCTCTATGTCCGAGGGAGCAACACGTCTCGCGGAATCAGTAATGTCGGTCTATCAGCAATTGCGCGCGGCTGCCCTTCCCTTAGGGTCCTATCCTTGTGGAATGTTCCTAATGTTGGCGATGAAGGTCTTTTGGAGGTTGCAAGGGAATGCCATTCGCTGGAGAAGCTGGATCTGTGCCAGTGTCCTTCCATTTCCAACAAGGGTCTGGCTGCAATTGCAGAGAAGTGCCCAAACATAACTTCTTTGACGATCGAGTCATGTTCAAAGATAGGAAACGAGGGGCTTCAAGCTATCGGAAGGTACTGTGCAAAACTGGAGTCTGTTACCATCAAGGACTGCCGCCTAGTTGGCGACCAGGGTGTTGCAAGTCTACTTTCTTCATCTGCTTCTGCTGTCTTAACAAAAGTGAAACTCCATGCCTTAAACATCACTGATTTCTCACTTGCTGTTATTGGACACTACGGCAAAGCAATCACTTGCCTCAATCTCAGCTCACTTCAGAATGTGAGCCAGAAGGGGTTTTGGGTAATGGGCAATGCCCGAGGTTTGCCACTGCTGACTTCTTTGGCTATCTCTTTGTGTAGGGGGGTGACAGATGTGAGTCTCGAAGCTTTGGGCACGGGTTGCCCAAATGTAAAACAGATGAGTCTTCGCAAGTGTTGCTTTGTGTCCGACCATGGCCTGGTCGCCTTCACTAAAGCCGCTGGCTCCCTAGAGTGCTTGCAGCTAGAAGAGTGCAACAGGATAACCCAAACCGGTATCCTCTACGCCGTTTCAAATTGCAGAAAGTTAAAATCCCTTTGCGTAGTGAAGTGTATGGGAATCAAGGATATACCTACTTCAGAAACTCTTGTTCTTGCCCCGTGCGTAACTCTCAGATCCTTGACCATCCGAAACTGCCCTGGTTTTGGTAGCGCCAGTCTTGCCACAGTGGGAAAGCTTTGCCCTCAGCTTCATTACTTGGATCTGAGTGGGCTTTATGGGATCACCGACGCTTCCATTCTCCCTCTTCTAGAAAGCTGCGAATCTGGGCTTGTCAAGGTGAACCTCACTGACTGCCTCAATCTGAGTGATGAAGTTGTCCTATCCCTGGCTAGGCTGCACTGTAAGACCCTGCAAGTCTTGAACCTTGATGGGTGCAGGAAGGTTTCTGATGCGAGCATGGTGGCTGTTGCTGAGAACTGTGCCATGCTAAACGATCTCGACGTTTCAAAATGTTCAATAACTGATTCCGGCGTCTCTGCACTGTCCCACGGCATCCAAACCAATCTGCAGATTCTCTCCTTGTCTGGCTGCACAATGGTATCA